AGTCTCCCGCATGCTGGGATGACAGGCACCATACCACGCCTGTCTCCTGCAGCCAACTCAGGCAGCAGATGCCAGGACCGGCATGAAGATCTGCCTGCCAGGGCTTGGACCCCCATGTCTGCATTCAGAGTGGTAAGGGAGAGGGCACCCTGCAGGCTGCTTCACATGAGTCTCTCCACCACCTCCCTAAAAGGAGAAAGAAGCAAGCTGCTCTGGGATGATGGAATCTGCGCACTCCAGAAGGCAGGACACATCACAGTGGGTGCATCCAGGCAGCCCACAAGCATCCTCAAACTTCGTTCAAGGCCAGGGGTGGATTACTACCTTCACACTAATTAAAGACCTTTTGGCTCGGGGGCGTACAAGGAGGCGTGGAATCTGAGAAAGCTGCAACCCCAGCTTTTTCATTCCAGCAGGCTAGGGGTCCGCAGATCTTCGCGGGTCCATTCCCTGAGACATCGTGGCTGGGCCAGGGATCCGCGACTATGGGCATGGAGTTAGGCCGCCTTTGCATGGTAGCTGCCCGGCTACCCAGCTTAGGTGGCCCCGACCACCCAATTCTTCTTCAAGTAGTATCTGTCCTCTCCTTTCTTCCGCCTTCGAAGGAAGCCCAATTTGCAGTAATTTCTTTGTAGGATGAAGCACGGAGCGGAAAGCTGGGACAGAGGAAGGAGAGATACATTTCCAAGCCGTTCTCTCCTTGGTAGTCAGGGGGCTTCCTTTGCGTCCTCCTCTAACTCGGACTGTAGTCTGCGAGATCATGGAAGTGGGGCGCAGCTCCAGCACTTGTCGAGCGCTCGGGTTCTGGGGTTCCTAGGGCAGCGCACCCACATGGATCCCTCGCCACTAGGCGCCGCTGCACGCACACCGATCGCGGCCAGGGCCGCCGCATCCACCGGGCTTCAGGGCTCTAGATAGTGCATCAGAAAAGGATTTGCCGTAATAAATTAAAAAACAATGTTTTAAAGCTATTCATTCTTCTTTTCCTTTTCTCACCGGTGCACCAGAGTTGGAGCAGCAGAGTAACTGGGAATCACAGTGAGTCCACAGGACTTCTTAAATTGCCTCTCGTCTCTGGTCACCTTTTAGCTCATCTTGGAGCCGGGAAGGGCTCACCTTTTGCCAGCAGCTGACGTGGGCGCTTCCCAAGAGGCACCGCCGTCGCGCAGTGAGACTCAGCGCTTTGGTTTTGAGGGTCCAAACCCGACGACCTGGGTCTGGCGCGGCATGTGGGCCGCAGCTCACAAGGCTAGGCCAGCGAATGCGGGAACTAAAATGTGAGGAACGCTAACCATGTGCCAAGCTCACCTATTCTTTTCAATACTCATTAAAATATTGATACTTTCTATCCATGGAGGCAACAGCTATGGCTGGAAACAATTGAACCACACAGGTCTTGACCCCAGGGGACTCCCACATACCTCTTGTCAGCACCCACTGCAGACAAGGCAAGGTCTAGCAAAGGACTGGGAGGGAGAGGAACCACAGGCGAGTTGCTCCTCTGAAGTGCAAGGGAGGGACAAACCCAGAGCAGATGGTTCTTAGAGCTCCCTGGGAATCCCTGCCCTTTGTCACCTCTAGAGAGCTAGGACTCTGGCCCTCTCACCCCAGAATCTCCTAAGGGAAGTTCATGGCCTCTGCTGGAGCCTGGAGGAGGGACATGTAAGCGTGAGACCAGCATTAGCTCGCTGGTACTTTATTGTTCAATCTTTGAAGACCAGCAGCTTGCCTGTGTGCGTAGGTGAAAACAGGGACGTCCACAAGAGGAGCGTTGGCTCAAGTTCATTATGTGCCAGGTATTGTCTCAACACTTTAGTGTTTCTCACTATTCCAAGGACCAATATACTATCACTTATTCCCATTTGAGGGCAGAAAAACAGAGGCACGAAGAGGTTAAGAAACTTGGCCAAGATCACACAATAAAGCTGTGAATACAAGCCTCGGTTGTTGTCATTGTTGTTTTTAAAAGAGAGCAGATTTATTGAAGTGCAGTTACATACAGCAAAATCCACACTTTGCGCTATGTGTACAGTTCTACAAGTTTCAAAATCAGAAAGTAGAATAGTTCTATTATGTCCCCGCCCCCAACGACATCACTGCTGCCCCTCCAGCTTCTCAGGCAGCATTGGCTGTTTTTGCACAAGACAAAATGAGGTCGGAGGAATTGTGGTGCTGGCCCAAATCCTTCAGAAAGTGAAAGACCCGGACTTGGAGCCGCGTGCTGTGCGCTGGTTCAACTGTCTATTGCTGAGCCTAAAGGGCCCATCCTCAGCGGGTTGGCGCGCACACCACAGAAGGGGAGAAACTTCTTCATTGCAGACACAGAACTTAACCAAATATCCACTCCCTGGGTAGCTAAGGACCAAAAAGGGGTAGCATTTTGTGAGACCTGAAGCCATGAGTGGAGTGAGGGACAGCTTCGTGATCGGAAAGCTCAGGGTCCGAGTCCAGCCCTGAGCTCCCAGCCTCCTCTGGCCAGGGCGGTTAATGAGTTACTCGGCTCGTTAATGTCTGTGCACGTCGGGGCCCAGCAGCGCTTAGTGGTGCGAACCTTCCCGGCGCCTCAGGTCAGGGGCTCAAGAATTAGCATAGATTACCCAGCTTCAGAAGGAATCCCATTTCTTTGCTTCTTGGAGGGGGGGTGCCTACGCAATGCTTGGGGTTGCAGGAACTTCAAGTGGAGGAACTGGCTTGCCTTGCTTTCTTCAAAAACATGGCTGTCTTCCTTGCTTTCTTCCACCTGCCCACCAGTCTGAGACTTGGGGAGATCCTGGCCTTCGAAGGGCAGTTTCTAAGAGGCTGGCAGCTTGCGGAGGACGCCACAGGACCAGCCTCTCCCCTTGAGCAGTGTCTGCTCCACCAAAAATTTTCCCTAGGGCTAAAGGTTAAGAGGCCCAGTTACCAGCTCACTCTTTGAGGACACTTGCCTATCATCCTGGTCAAGGAGATGAAGGGTTAAAGGGGTACTAATCACACCTTAAGGACTCAGGGCTGAACCCTTGAAAAGTGGGAAGCCCCCTTAGACAATAGACCCCACCAGGGGCTCTCACAATCTCCCAGACATGACTGTATTCCCCTGGCCTTCAAGGTCAGTGACTTTTATACCCCCAGCCAAGATCACTAACACTAACTGTGCAAGGACCATTCCCTGCCCCATTGTCTGGGTGGGCTTTTAGTGGCCCTGGCTTGGAGCACTGAAGGCTGAGTGCAGAGGGATTGTCTCACCCCCCCCCCCCCACACACAGAGGGTCACACAGCCAAGGAGGCCTCACTCCCTTACCTGGGAATCTGGTCGCAGACTGCCCAAACTGGGTGTTCCTGTCCAGCTGCAGAAGCTCTAGGGCTGACTCCTACCTCTATTGGAGCTTGCTGACCTAAAGACCTGCACCTTTCAAGGGAGCTTTCAGGTTCCCTGCTGGCATGGGTGAATGGTGCCTGTGTTTCCACAGCCTAGTCCACGGAGCTGGGGACAATAATTGGGGAGATGGTGGTCCAGGCCTGAGTTGAGTAGTCTTTGAACTCCGTTCCATGCTAAGATGCTGGACCCAATGCCCAAAATCTTGGGGTTTGGGGGAAAAGCAGGTGGGCAAAGCAGCTGTCTGGAACAAAAGATAAAAACCCAGCCAGGACCCCAGCCCAGACTGATGACTCAGAGATCCAAAGTAGGAGGCAGTAGCCAATTTCTCCCATGGTGAGGCCAAAGCTGGGGCCCACAGGGGCTCCCCAGTAAATGTGTGTGTACGCCTGTGCTTATGTGCCCTGAAAAGATGGAGGGCTGCAAGACAAGGGACCTCTGTGGACTCCCAGCTAATCTATATGGAGCCCCAACAACATTAGAAAACTTCTCCTTTGCCTGGGAGATTTCTCAGGGGTGTCTCTGGTCATCTCCCCTTCCTCAACACAGTACTGCACAGTACCTAGAATAAAGTCAAAAAATTGATAGAGCCAAACACACAGCAGCAGATGAGAAGAGGGGAGGGGAAGAGGAGTCCAGAGGGCAAGGACCAGAACAGCTGGGGACCCTGGAGCAGGTCCCAGCACTGCAGACTCGTGACTGCATCCGATGGAGCTGCAGCTTCCCTTTCGGGGGACTCACTTCTGTTCCCTCCTGATTGACTTCTCCCAGGTCTCACAGCAACCTAGCCACCAAACACAGGCATTTCTTCCTCTTTAAGAAAATGGCACGGGTCTGAGAGTAATAGATTTAAAAGACGCCAGCATTTTTATTATTAATTGCAAACGTGCAAAATACCTGCTGGTACTTCACTTTATAAGAATGTAATTGGCAAAAGGGGGGGGGGGAGAAAAAAGAGGCGGCTGATGAATAGATAATAGATCTTTAACCACCAATAAACAGAGAGTAGCGCCAGCAGCCTGGGGGATGTGATCATAATTATGCCGCAGCATGAGCCAATGGGGATGAGAGAACTCGGCCCTAAAATCATCCCAAAACCGAAGGCGAGCTCGAAAATGCGGACACGGCCTGGAACAGAAGACGCGATCTGCAGGCTTTAGTTGCGAGTCTTGGATTTGCATAGCAACCCAGTCCTGGGATACCAGATGGCAGAATTATAGTAAAAATAATAACAGCAAGAGCAACAATAGTAGTAATAATGTCAGCACTAATACAAACAACAACGAAAATGAAATAACAATAGCACCGCATCAGCCTGACCTTGGACTCATAATCCCGGTATCCCATAAAGAAATGTTTTGGGGAATAAGGCGAGCGCCCTTCCAAACAGAAAAAGTGGGAGGTCGTGGAGTAAGAGCGGGTGCGAGTCAGAAGCCCACCACCTCGAAGGGTTGGCAGCTCTTGTGCCAATTCACAAACGAACGAGCCGGGACGAGGATTGTGAGCGCGCATACTCTGGGGCCACTAAGCTACCGGTGGTGGAACGGGAGCCCCCCAAAGCGTGGGATGCTTTGCTGGAGTGAGGACTGGGTCCATCTAACGGAGCCTTAGCCCTCGCCGCCGAAGCCCGCTCCCACCCGCTTACCCTCACAGAACTCCCGGGCGATCTCGGCTCCACAGTCGCTGGCTGCGCAGGACCGCAGCGACAGGGCGCAGGTCGAGAGGATTGTGCGCGCCTGTTGGTCCGTGCATCCCACCAGCTCGGGTGCAGCAGGCTCGGGGTCCGGGGCCCGTGGTGAGGCGGCACGAGCGGGGGAATCTGCAGGGACCCTGGTGCCCCGGAGGGAGTGGTGCTGGGAAAGGAGGAGGCGGTGGCTGAGGGGGAAGAGGAGGAGGGGAAAGAGGAGGAGGAAAAAAAGAAGGAGGAGAAGAAAGAGGAAGAGGAGGAGGAGAAGAAACCGGAGGAAGAGGAGGAGGCGAAAGAGGAGGAGAGAAGCCACAGCAGGCGCCGCCGGAGCGAGAGAACTCGGAGCGCGGGGCGAAGGCGCGGAGAGGTCGGGCAGCCGGGCCGGCGGGCGGGCGGGCGGCTGGAGGCTCCGCCGGGCCAGCAGCGCCGACTCCGTTCCACTCTCGGCCAGGATCCAGGCCTCCGGGTTCCCAAGCGCTCGCCTCCCTCTGACGCACTTTAAAGAGTCTCCCCCCTTCCACCTCAGGGCGAGTAATAGCGACCAATCATCAAGCCATTTACCAGGCTTCGGAGGAAGCTGTTTATGTGATCCCCGCACTAATTAGGCTCATGAACTAACAAATCGTTTGCACAACTTGTGAAGAAGCGAACACTTCCATGGATTGTCCTTGGACTTAGGGCGCCCTGCCCGCCTTTTGCAGAGGAGAGAAAACTTTTTTTGCCTCCCCCGAGAAACTTTGCCCCCCCTTCTGCCTCTAACTCTGAACCCCCCCCCCACGCCATCTCGAAAAAAAAATTACCCCAATCCACGCCTGCAAATTCTTCTGGAAGGATTTTTCCCCCCTCTCTCCAGGTTGGGCGCGTTTGGTGCAAGATTCTCGGGATCTTCGGCTTTGCCTCTTTCCCCCTCCCCCTCCTTTTCCTTTTCCTTTCCTTTCTTTTTTCCTTTCCTCCCCCCACCCCCACCCGAAACAAACGAGTCCCCAATTTTCGTCGGTCCTCGCCGTGGGCAGCGGGCGGCGGAGGCAGCGCGCTGCGGTCGCCGGGAGCAGGGAGCCCAGGCGCCCGCTCCTCGGCGCAGCATGTTCCAGCCGGCGCCCAAGCGCTGCTTCACCATCGAGTCGCTGGTGGCCAAGGACAGTCCCCTGCCCGCCTCGCGCTCAGAGGACCCCATCCGTCCCGCGGCACTTAGCTACGCCAACTCCAGCCCCATAAATCCGTTCCTCAACGGCTTTCACTCCGCCGCTGCCGCCGCCGCCGCGAGCAGGGGCGTCTACTCCAACCCGGACTTGGTGTTCGCCGAGGCGGTCTCGCACCCACCCAACCCAGCCGTGCCGGTGCACCCGGTACCGCCGCCGCACGCCCTGGCCGCCCACCCCCTGCCCTCCTCGCACTCGCCACACCCCCTCTTCGCCTCGCAGCAGCGGGACCCGTCCACCTTTTACCCCTGGCTCATCCACCGATATCGGTATCTGGGTCATCGCTTCCAAGGTACGTGTCACGTCGCGGGACTGCCGTGCGCCGCTCGCGCTGCATCGTGCTCTGCGCCTGGCCTGCTCGGGTGGGCGCCTGGCAAGGCCTGGGCGGAGGTTCCCCGGACGCGCGGGCCCCGGCTCCTGGTTCGGAGCTGGGCAGCCCAGGCGGGCGTGGTGCCGACCCGCACACTCAGAAGCTACAGCTGGTTTTGGGTGCTGGGCTGCCGACCGACTGACCTCTCGGGAAGGGGCGCGGAGCAAGTTGTTCCTGAGCGCGCTTCGGTCCGGGCAGCCTGGAACAGCTGCTCTGCGCGCCCAGCACCAGGAAGCCCAGAGCCTGCGGGTCCTCAGGCTCCCGCTTCCGTGGGCGATGCCCTGGGTATTGGCTTGGAGAGGCTCGGACAGGGCCTGGCCGCCAGGTTCCCCTCCGACAGTGTTGGACTCGTTCTACACCCACTCCACGCCCCTGCGGCCGGCGACTTCTCCGTCTTCGACCCTTTTTACGGAAGCCGGGCTTCTCTCAGGACCCTCAAAGTATTCCCAAACCCCTGCTTTTTGGAGGCCTGGAGAAAGGGCTCTAACCGGAGGGGGTAAAACCTTCAGGGCTTGGTGCTCTCGCCGAGACCTGCTTAATTGGTGCACAGAGCGGCCGAGCGGGAAGACAGGTTCAGTCTGGTTTTTGTTTTTCTTCCTTTTAAAGGAAATCAACCAGATGGAGAGACGGCCTGGGAAGGAACGACCTGTTTGGGTGTCTTCATTTCTAATTCTAGAGAGTTTTACAATTTGTTTTTCTCTGAGTGAGGACTGGCAAGAAAGTAAAAACTTAGGGGGAACGGGGGCAAGTAGTTTACGGATCCCAATCTGAGTCTGTTTAAAAAAGCAAAACAAAACCAAAACCTACCTTCGGCAGCCGATCAATACCCAGCGGTTGATCAGTAAGTTAACTCTTTACATTCATGCCTGAGCGTAGGTTCAGAAAGATGTCATCATTTCTCTTCCCATAATTAAAAAAAAAAAAATTCCAAACCCTTATCCTTGAAGTGAATTTGCCTCTAGTCCCGCTTAGCTGTCAGTTTGTTTTTATTTGAGCTTATGGCGAACCGATTTCTTACTGTAATAAACGAACCCGAGACAGTGGCTTTTTCTCAGTTTAGGGCTTCCCTTCCGCATCTTCTGCCAGTCCCGTTCCTGGTTGCCCCCCCCCCCCATCTGGAGCCGCTGGTGTCTTCCCTGGGTCTCAGACCCGTAGAGGGAATGGGTGTACAACCCGGTAAACCCTGAGTTTGCAGAGTTTCCATCCCTTTTCTCTCGGCTGTCTCCTCTTTCTCTGGAACCGGGTCCTCCCAAGGCAGTAGCGGAAGAAGCCTTTCACACCCGCTGCAAGATTTCTGTTTTGATCTGGTTACAGCAACTCACCTGTCCTCTACTTTCTCGACTGGGTAGGAAGCCAAAAAAATAAAAAAAAAATTTTTTTTTTAAAAACAAATTCTCGAGAAAATCTTGGGTAACGGCCTTGAGGTCAAAGTCCTTGGAGAGGTTGAAGAGGGCTTCTCTTTGGGGTGGTAAGCACCAATCTCCCAGCCGGGTTCTGCCACCGCTTCCCCTACCCGGGGCACTCGTGGGGAAGATGGCAGGGCCGTGGTGCCAACGCGATTGCGGAGCCCAGGCCAGCAGAGGTCCTTAACCTGAGGACTGAGCTCCTCCAGAGCAGCTGCGGGTTGAGTCCCGCACAGGTGGACGGTCCGACACTGGCAGCTGGACCGGCTTCCCTTTCGTGCGGCCGAGGAGTTCACCCAGCCTTGGCAGCTCGGGTTAAGCGGCCGGCCTGAGCTCAGTGCGGCCGCCCGGCTCGGGAGAAGCGAGGCTTCGGCCAAATGGGCCCCTAATGGCACTTATACTGTGCCCTCTGCAGGGAACGACACAAGCCCCGAGAGTTTCCTTTTGCACAACGCGCTGGCCCGAAAACCTAAGCGGATCCGAACCGCCTTCTCCCCGTCCCAGCTTCTAAGGCTGGAACACGCCTTCGAGAAGAATCACTACGTCGTGGGCGCAGAAAGAAAGCAGCTGGCGCACAGCCTCAGCCTTACGGAAACTCAGGTGAGTGTAGCCCAGGAGGGAAGACACTCAGTCTAGCACAGGCCCCTGGCTGCAGCGGTGGTCCCCAGGTTTGGGCAGGGCACCTAGCACCTTCACCCATAGGGAGTTCCAAGAGAACTAACTCCCCTCCGGGCCTCTGGAAGTGTAACTTCCCAGGTGCCCAGCTTTGTGGAGCTCCAGAGGCATGGGGTGAGCGGATTCTCCCCAGTTCTACAGTGGAGGAGCGGACTTCCTTCTGACCTCTGGGCAGGTCTTGCAGCTCTGGCTAGCACACACACCTCTGTAGTGTTGGTGAAAATTTTGGTGAGATCCTGTGTTGGATACTTGGGTCCAGGAGGAAGGGAAGTGCGGTGGGGTTTTGCAATCGCTTGAGTTGGAGCTTGAGAGTGTAGGGTGGGTTATGGATGAGTTCTAAGCAGCTCTAAGCCAATGGGCTACCACCGGGGCCAGGAGAGTCTGAAGCTGGAGATCAGGCTGCTCTGTGTGTGTGTGTGTGTGTCCCGTTGCAACCACAGACATAAAGCTGGAAGGCTGCAAAGAGTGCCTGAGTTGGGATAGGCCCTGCTGTTTAGTGAAGTCCTGAAGCAGGCCTGGCTTGTCTTGTCCTGCTGCGAAGGGGGCTTAGAGCTGCAGAAGGTGCTACTGTACTAGGCCCATGGGGTAGGGCAAAGTTCCCACAAGACAGTAACATTTTCGGGCAGATTAAGTGGTAGCACTTTTTCTGAGAAGTGCAAAAAGGTCAAGGCTTTTTTGAATCCCCACCCCACCCCATCGTCCTCTGAAAGAAATCAAGGAGAGCCGTGCAGGTTTGTGCCGAGCGGGCACAAGGCGCGGCTGGCTGGTTTCCCCTGGCCAGCCCGGGCGGAGGTGGTCTTTGTCTGCCTGGCTGCCCACACTGCCTTCAGTCTTTGTGTGAATGTCAAGCCCCTAGCACATGGACTGTAGCTTTGGGCGAGGCCAGGGGGAGAAATGAACCATCCTCCTCCTCAATTAGCAGACTCAAAGCAAATTAAACTCAGGCTTGTTCCCACTCAGCTTTTTCTTGGGGCACTTTTGGGGACTAGGGCATTAGGGGAGAGCAAGTTGGATGGGAAGACTTAAAGGGGGGAGTGGTGAGAGACCTCAGGGGCCGGGGATAGGGACTGGGCCAGGGTGCTACTATTGGGACAGGTTTGCTGGGATGTGAAAGGTACAGTCACCGCCAGGTTTTCTCCCCCATTGCTCTCTACTCCAAAGCCTGGACAGTGTTAGTCTTGGTCTTTTTGTTGCTAAATGGGGACCCACCACCCAGCTTCCCCAGGGCCCATCAGTCCGCAGCTGGCTCCAACTTCTTTGCTCTATGGACTTCCAGCAGCTGCCCTGGGGAGGAGACCAGGCTGTCAGCTTTGCCTTGGTGGGAAGGGATGTGGTTCAGTCTGAGAATGACCCTGTCCTATTCTGAGGCTGGACAGTAGGGGGAAGGGATGGGTCTGTCTGTCTGTCTGTCTGTCTATCTGTCTGTCTCTCTAGTCCATGCATGGTCTTCTGGAAGCTTTCACTTTTGAACACCCTTTCCTACTTGGAATGGTCCAGCTGGGTTACACCTGAGGCTTGTGCCCCATCGTCCCCTGGTTTCCTCCAGCTCCACCTCTGCTCACCTGCCTGCATTCCCCTGTAGTGAGGCAGCAGCTCAGCATACCTGGATGGTCTACGGAAGGCCTTGCTTCCTTGTAGAGGCGGCTCTATATTTAGGCACTGCCAGACTGGCAGAAAATAGAAAACGTATTGGGTCTTGCAGGAGCTGTGGCAGCCCAAACTGAGGTCTTTCTTTTGCTGGTTTCCTGGAGGGGAGCTCAGGACAGGTCTCTTTATTTCTCCTTATTTATTATTTTATAAGAGTTGCCAAGCTTTACAAGGCTTATGCCCTCATTGGGATGTGAGTGTTCTAGACTGGGACAGCAGTGAAGGGGCTCAGAGCACCATGGGACCTGGAGCTTGGGGGAAGTCTCTCTGCAAGGGCTTAGAAAGGCCAGATCTGGACTTCCTACCTTCAGGACTAGGAACTCTGCTCCTGGATGGGGCCAGAGGTGGTGACCCTTAGGATATGCATGGGTTTTTGCAGGTCTCGGACTGGGGCCTGGGTGGTGGAAGGGATCAACTTCATAGGATGGTGCTGTGAAAGACCTAACAGGGCCCCACCTACTTCTCCCTCCAGGTAAAAGTATGGTTTCAGAACCGGAGGACTAAGTTCAAAAGACAGAAGCTGGAGGAAGAAGGCTCAGACTCACAACAAAAGAAAAAAGGGACACACCATATCAACCGGTGGAGAATCGCCACCAAGCAGGCGAGTCCAGAGGAAATAGATGTGACCTCAGACGATTAAAAAGACAGACTTACCCCCACAGAAGCAGACAACATGGAACAAAACAGACAGGGAGAGGAGGGGAAGAAGGAAAAACCCTACAAATAAAAAACAAACTGCACACACATTCACCGAGAAAGAGAGGGGATCAGAGACAGAGAGAGCAAAGCGCGTCGCAGACTTTGTACAGCAAGGGCGCTGGGTCCCGATCCAAGAAGGCACCGGGATGGCAGAGGATGGAGGCTTCTTCATCAACTCGCAGCCCTCATCTAAAGAGGCAGCTGAGTGAGTGAGTGAGTGAGAGAGAGAGACGGGGGGGGGAGAGAGAGAGAGAGAGAGAGAGAGAGAGAGAGAGAGAGAGAGAGAAGAGAAGAGAGGGAGGGTGAGAAAAGGAGAAAGAAAATGAGTGAAGAGAGTGAGAAAAGATGAGAGGAGAGGGAGGGAGGGAGGGAGGGAGGGAGGGAGAGAGAGAGAGAGAGAGAGAGAGAGAGAGAGAGAGAGAGAGAGAATGTGACAAAGCTGAACACACTCTGACAAGGGGAGCTATCAGTCAATAGCCAAATTAGGGAGACGAGATGATTGGCAGAGATTGCGTTTATCGTAGTCCACTTTTAAAAATGGTGAAAATACTGATTTTTTTTTAAAAAAAATCTCAACCAGGCACAGGACTTTTAATTTTGCACTGCATAGTGTTTCCCCCCAGTCTTTAAAAATAATTAGTAATACGAAACAAAATTCCACAACTAGCCCTGTCCCACACCTGTTTCCAAAACTTGAATTGCATGTAGCAGTTGTTGGGCAAATGGTGTCTAAAGACAAAAAAATGAATTGTAAGTTTATCTTCCTTTTCAAGACAGGTTCTGTGTGCTTTTTCCTTTATTTTTTTTCCGAGAAATGTGCAGTCTGTAAACACTTTTTGCTACCTTCTGATGTCAAAGTGATTGTGTAAGCGAAATGAAGTAGGCTCAGCGGTAGTGGTCCTCTTGCAGAGAAACGGGGAGCAGGATGGGAATGAGGGTGGTGAGGGAGGGTGCCCCCCAAAAGAATCAGGACTTGTACTAGAAAAAAATTAATTGATCATATTCTTGAACATTCCCTTGCCTAACATTCTGAGGCTTAACACTATGAAGTGAACTGTGTTCAGTGGTTGGAGAAATTGGCTGGGTTCAACCATTCCCGGAAATGACCATTCAAAATTTTAAATCTATCCTTTGCAAAAACTGAAGGATTGTAGTTAGTGGGGACGAAGTTAGTGTGACCAAGAACATGCGGCAAGTTTTCAAGCACTGAGTTTCTCTTCCAAGACCATAGACTTACTAAAGAGAGTGACAAATGCTTCCTTAATGTCTTCTATACCAGAATGTAAATATTTTTGTGTTTTGTGTTAATTTGTTAGAATTCTAACACCCTATATACTTCCAAGAAGTATGTCAATGTCAATATTTTGTCAATAAAGATTTATCAATATGCCCTCAGAGTAGTTGTCTTGGGAAATTGAAGTGGGTCTTGATAAAAAGTATCTCTATGATTTGACCTCAACTAGATTCAAGAAACCCTAGCTCCTCAACCATAAAGGGGCCAGAATAATGTTTTTTGGGGGGAGTGTTTTAAAGAGAGATGATAGTGGGGAAGTGAGATTAAGATCTAAAGTCCTTAAGGGAAGGGGTGGGCTAAAAATTTTCCAAGCAGACCTTTGCCTGTTGGTTGTACGCTGTACTTGAGTTTAGTTTGAACTTTAGGTTTGAAATACTTCTCTTTATTTCTGCTTTTAAAAATTTAGATCTATAGTTTTGAATTGAATGTTCTTCTAGAATAGGGGAAATCACTTATCAGAATTCTGGGACTTTTAAACTTTATTTATGACCTCAAATCCCTTAGGTACACGTCTCCCTGCCCCCCTTCCTTTCTTCCTTTCTTCCTTTCTTATTTCTTTCTTTCCTTTCTTTTTGGCCCCAATGTGCCAAAGGTGATGGGATGAACCCCAAGGCCTTAGGAACCTTATAAGGGAAGCATTCTAAGAAAGCTTCAACTCTTAATTTTAACATTAAAGAAAAAGTTGTAACCATTCTTAGAGGAAACTTAGTCCCCCCCCTTCCTTCCCCTTTCTGGGGGTATGAGGTTGTTTTTGCATGCTTCATTTGCTTCTTATCCTGATAGGCTGCATTAATCAGTTTTATTTCCATTGATAGAGAAACCTCGTCTGTTCTGTTCGAGCTACAAAGCGTCCTGTGAGCTTTTGTGAAAGTGCAAATCAGTTTAAGCAATTATCATACCAGGAATATGAAGGGGAAAGAGGAGGCCTTGCCCAGTGGTCTCCTTTAATCTCTTAATCCATGGATCCAGGGGGGCTGCCTGGACATAATTTAGGACAATCTCCCCACCCTTTACACTGTGATAAGGCCAAGTTACAATGCAGGGCAAAAATACAAGCTTTGTTAACATCCTGCCTTGAAAAGTTAAGATTAGACATTCTGTGCATGTGTGGGGACCATAGGGCACTATGGAAATTTTTCCTTTCTGTTTTTCTTCCCCTTCTCTAAAGCAGAAATTGTTCTTCTTCTATCTCCCTTGCCTGTCTCTCTCTGTGCCTTCTCTCTGTGTCTCTGTCTCTGTCTCTGATTTCCTTTCTCCTCTGTCCCTCTACAGATCTGGATGCTCATAGTGCATTGGTACACAGGCCCTTCTTAGAAAATGTGTGTGTTGTGGGTACGCATAAGAGGGAACTGCTGGGTGCCTCATATGGGGACAGGTGCCACCAGGCTGGGGTATCCCTGAAATGTGGATGGGGCTCTCAGCTGCTTGGGCCGCAGGACTCTTACTGTTAGCTGTCCAGACCTCTCAGTGACTTGATGGTTACTGTCCCCAAACTGAATCCTATCCGCTTAAACAAGTCCAAGTTACCTTTTCTTTCCATCTGTCCTCTAAAACAGTGAATACCTAAAACATAGAGCATAGTCCTGCTAAAATTGAGACTGGCTTTTCCAGGAGAAAAGTCCCATCTTGCTAAAAGGCTATTTTCTGCAGAAACCATATACTTAATTTTTTAAGTATAAGAAAAGGGGGGTGATAGTGGAGATTTTTTGGGAAATGCCCTATGAAGTGTAACAGCAATAAAATCATCAGAGAATACTATTAGCTTTGAGGGAAAAAAAACTAAAAGCTTTATTACAAACCAAGCTTTGAAAATAGGGGGGATTAGGCGGCTGAAAGGGTCCCACAATGGTAAGAAGAAAAGGTTTCATGCTAATGAGGTTAATGCCCTTTGTATCTCAGGCCTCCACATCTTCATTACGCGCTATCTCCGGCTGCACGGAGCGGCTCAGAGAGCCTCAATCCACTCCAACGCCCCCCTTCCCGGCCCAAAGAAGGATTTGATAGCAGCTCTGTTCAAACTAGATAATTATATCTTTTCAAGTCGGAATTAAGATAAAGAAAGTGAAGCAGAGGCGGCTAGCCTTGATCCACTGCAAACAAATTTGGCGCACTTTCGAGTCCTTCCCCCGCCTCGAAAAGGCAGGACAGCAGCTTATTAGCCGCTCGTTTGCTTTATTAATTCATCTATTTAAAGTGGCAGGATTAGAGCGTCTAATGCGGACGCGGCTGCCGTGGCGCTGAGGAATATAAATATTTGCGAGATGCCATCCCACGATGCCTATCTGGGTGTGGGGCGCCGGGCAGGGTTCGCGGGGCGCGCGTGCTCGGGTTTCGGCCCCTTAGCGCACGCAGAGCTGGAGCCCTCTGGGCACGGATGTATGGGAGTCGCGTGCCCCCTCGTGTTACATAGGTGCCAGGTTTCGGTGTCCCTGGTCAGGGTTCTGTGGGCGTTGCGGGCCAGGCTCTGCGTCCCTCTCTGTACCCGGCCAACTATAGGCACGTTGCCATGTGTCCTGCCTGTGACCTCGAAAGGGAATGTAGGTTACGAATTTGATCCACGTCCCGCTTTCTTGACGGCTGTCTGTGCGTTCCCCGTGCCAAATGGCTGTTCAGGAGACGCGGGTTTGAGTCTGTGTTGCCCCAGCGGGCCAGACTGAATATACAAAGCGAGCGAGTGAGCGAGCCGCGCCAGGCTCCCCGCGACTTACACGTGGGCTCCGTGAGCGTTCCTCGCTTCGAAACCTGTTCCTCAGCGAAGGAGCCAGAAACTTCTGAGGTGACAGGAGGCTAGGACCTCCGACAGTTCCCTTTGCTAGCTCTCGCTCGGGGGTTTTTGGTCCTCCCAGCTTCTTCGGACTCTGCTCTTGGCAACCAAGCCCAGCTGGAGCGGGTGCGTTGGCCACAGCCGGGAACCTGCCGGGCCACTTTTGTGCGAGGGGCGGATTGTGGCAGCCGGGTGGCGCGCCAAGCGGGCCAGGCAGAAAGGGGGCTCGGGCCTGCGCGCAGCTTTGGAAATCTCGGCTCCTCCCAGTCCCCGCCTTGAGTCGCAGAAAACAAAGTCCTGGACGCGAGGGCTGGTTAGGGAGGGACTCTGGCGGGTCGGAGGCCTGGCCGGGGCCGGCTCCAGGCTGGAGCATGCGAGCCCGGCTTCCCACATGTGGGCAGTTGCAAGTTTGTGCGAGGGTGAGTTAGGGTGAAGGTCTGTGATTGTGTTTGCACAGAATGGGCGTTCTCGTCTGTGATACAGCTGTTTGTGTGGCCAGGCAATTGCGCGTCTCCCCCAGGACTTCGATCAGTTCGTGTGGTGTTGATTGAGATAGAGCCCCTGAGATCAGTGCTACTTGTGCAGATCGTGCGGCTGTGACAAGACGTCGGTCTTCCCTTCTATACGAAGCGCTTTGAGTTAGGACAAGAACTTACAGCTGCGGGGCTGCGGGGTTCCTATAAAGGGGCGGATCTGCAAGGCACCAGGTCTGCATTCTACTCAAGTTGTGCGTCTCAGGATGGGACCTCTGTGAGTTTCCGTGTTTGGGTGAAGGGCCCCTGGGATGAGCACCCGTGCCCCTCACTACGGCGACATTTGTATGTCTGGGGATCTAGAGAGATTGTGTGTGTGTGTGTGTGTGTGTGTGTCGGAATCTGGTGAAGAGGCTTGGGTTGGGCTGGTCCCAAAGCGCATCAACAACTCCGGAGTTCGGCAAACAACAGCCATTTTTTGTAACCGTGCGTTTTTCTAGACCTGCCTTCATTATTCCGACAATCAAGCGCTTGATTTATTTAGGTGCCTCCTCGCAGCAGCGGCGGGCGGGGCAGGGGATGCGGGCCTTCAGCCCTGGCCTCCCCGCCCCCTAGCCCGGATGCGGAGCTGCGGGCTGCCTCGGCAGCTCAGCCCCCTGATTTATTTCCCCCAACCAGCTCCACAGCGAGGGGGAAGTGGGAGTTTTGAGAACCCTCTGACTCTAGCCGTGACCCCGCTCAGGGAGGCAGCGCCTCTCCGCTCGACGCTGAGCGCCGCCGGGAAACCCGAGGCGGCTCTACGCTTGAAAGCGAAAGGTCCATTCATCAGCCGCTGCTAGCTTCTAATTGGCCTTTTGTTCATTAGTGCCTGTTGCACAGCAGGGGAGCTCGGGAGGGCTGCAGGGCTGTAAGTCGGGGTGTTCGGGGTTGCCGGGACCGAAGTCCGGGGCTGAAGTCTTGGAGGGGAAAAGCCCGTCGCACTCCTGCGAGGGGGCGCCAGAGCGCGCTACAGATCACGACCACGTGCGGAAATGCGCTCGCGGCAGCCGCCAGCCGCGGCCTTGTCCCGGGCCTTCCTCCCCACCCCACCTCCACCTGCAAAGCAGCCCTCTCCTCGGCTGCGCGCCCTCGAGTTTCCGGACCCGCCTGCCTGTGTCTCCCAAGTTCCCGGGCCTGGCGCGGGCCCCGCAGGCCCGGCTGCACGCAGATCTTCTGCTTCTTCGTGCTTCCGGTTCATTTGCCGAGGCTTCCTTCTTCCTCCTGAGAGCCTCTGGGCTCCCTTCCCTCTAAGCTCACCCAATGCAGCGTCCTGCAGCCGGCGCTTCGCTTCGCCGAGTGGGGGCCTAAACACTTTGGGGCTCAGCAGGGAGGGTAGAGGGGGGAAGACCAGGTTCCTACCTCGCCCCACGCTGCCCCCCTCTCAAGTCAAATCTGCCCTTCCCTTTCTGCCTCCCATCCTGTGTCCGGTTTCGAAGCCACACTTTGCTGCCTCTCAGCTGCACTGTCACTGCCCCACTGCACATCCTCTGGGCGAGCCTCGAAAAAGAGAGGAGACCTAAGGTAGATCTGAAGGCCGAGAAGCACCTGAGGAGCCCTGAGGTGCTCCCATGGGATGGGGTCGCTTTTGAAAAATGAGCGAGGAGACCTGCTTTAGTGGCTGCCTACCCACAGTCTCCTGACCTGGGAGCATCGGCGGCCGGGGGCTCCTGCCCTCGCCAGCTCTAGGCCCTATATATAGCCCCTGTCTCTATAGCCCTGGCTGGACCCTGACGTCAGGAAGAACTTGATCTGGCCTGCTTCACTCCTGCTTCTGAAACTGATCCTTGAAATGAGAGAACAGACTCTACACAATTCCCATGGCCTTGACATAAGGTACAGCGATAAATATACACCACTAATGAGCAATTACCATATAATCACCTTCCAATTAGCTCGCATAATGATGAATTAAACATTCTAGCAGGCGGGATTAGGTTTCTTACTTTGTATATTATTTACGAAGGCTATAGCTTCTGCAAAGAACCAAATATCAAATTAGATGGGGAATTTTCACCTGCGGATAATTATGCATTCAGGCCAGCAGCCTGTTCTGGTCACTTGTCAAAAGAGGCCTCCTGCAATGTACTGACCAGTTTATCTGGGCTTCTGTTTTCCCTTTTCCTTTTCTTTTTAGGTCGGTTGCCTTCCCCTTGCCCTTTCACCACGCTGACCCGTGGGGTCAGATACTAACGGGCTGGAGAACCACGGCTGGGTCACGTTTGGGGAGGAACCTCAGTCTTGCAGGGAAGATGGAGGTGCAGACACGCAGGCCCTGTCCACATGGTCACTTGGGCCCTTGTCCCGTTTCTCTCCAGCCCAGCATGGAAGCCTCAGCTTGAGGGGGCTCAATGCCGCCGCAGGAGCGATTGGAGCACGGACTGGGCGTCTCCTTCGGCAGCAGCACCTGCCCCACCGAGGACCCTAAGGCGCCCCAGGGACATCACTGCGATCCTTGCAGTCTTTTACTCCCATTCCCACCCCAGTAAAGGGAGGGAAAGGCTGATGGTGGTGGGGATAAGAAACGGAACAACAAACCTCCACCCGGATCACAACCACCTCTAGTGTTCGGAAATGAATTTTGGCAAGAGATTAGTTCCTAATCTGATCTAACACGGCTGACATTTGGGAAGAAGATGAAAATGGCAGCTCAATTTCATTCTGAAACGGGGTCACTTCTCGGGGCTCTGATCCTCGGGGAATGTAGATGCCCCTCCCCCCTCTCCCCTAAAACAGAGAAGCTGTAGGGGCAGTTAGTGCTGGGACTGCCACCTTCTCAGGACAGCAGGAGCTGCAAAGGACCCTCACCTGCCCAGGTTGAAGGCTGCTGTGTGTGTGTGTGTGGGGGGGGGGAAGGTAGGGGGCTGCCTGGCTGGGCAGCTTCCTTCACCACCTGCTTGGGCCAGGTAAGGGACTCCTGGACCCAGTGGAGGTCCAGGAAGCCTCTTCTTTGTAGAGGGTTCGTGGAAGATAAGATAGTGTCAGAAGTCAGTGATGAGATATTAAAATGCAGTGTCCTCTGGGGCTGCCACAGCCTTCCACACCAGGGCCATGTGGCTGGCCTCTGCAGGAGGACGGAGGCCGCAGATGTGTTACAGTCCCTCCACTCAACTGTACGAGGCTGTGAGGTCCTGGGAGGCAGCAGCCAGGAAAGCCTGGAAAATCTCCTTTCCAGGAGGTGGGCGGGCCGTGCTCTTGCTCGCCCGGCTGGCCCTGGAGTACTCAGCCCAGCACTCATGGAGGTCCCTTGTGACAGCCTCATCCTGTGTCAGCTGCTGTGGTTGGGAGCCTGCCACTTCAGTCCTGTTTTGAGAGGAATCTGAAGGCCTGGACACTTCCGAGGCCCTCCCTGTCTGTGGGCATGGAACTTGTGGGTCGTTAGATGGATTATCATCAGTGTAGGCCAAGGACCAGTGGAGAATCTGGCTTGGGCCCTCAGTCATGAGCACGGGGATGCAGGCAGTTCCGTGCCCGAGTCTGGCCATGCACCTTACATACTGGAGGCCACGTATTCATGAATGACTGTACCCAAATGTTGTGCAGTGTGTAGCTGAGCATGTGGATCCAGGGATTGAACTCAGGCCCTTGTGCTTGCCAGGGAAGCGCTTATTCCACTGAGCCATCTCCCCGGCCCAAGTGTGACAGTCTTGAAAGTGCTTTCCTTACTGAGAGTCAGCTTTTTTCTAAGTCCCCCTTGACTGGAGCACACCTAGCTAAGGACTGTCCTTTGCTCCTTTAGCAGTGGAGAGGCTCTGAGTGGCAGCTGCCACTGCCCCCTGTGGCCCTCAGGGTTTCTGAATGTCACGCAGAGGCTGGTCATCACCACAGGTGTGTGTGCATTTGTGGGTGGGCCGAGTCACTGGAGTACTCATGAATATAGGAGTGCTTGGGAGTGTGTGTTTATGACCATGTGTGTGTGCGAGAGAGCCTGCAAGTACATATGTGAATGTGACTGTGTGTGCATGCGTACACAGGTATGATGATGGGGTAGGGCATGATGGAACAAGCTTGTGGGATCCCGGGCAGGGGCATGGCAGGGTGTTACAATTGGCTTCCCTGGCAACTCATCCCTCCTCGTGCTGCATGGTGCCCCTTCAGCTAAGGCTGGCTGCCCCTGGGAGGCCTACCCCTCCCTTCCCAGCTTCCTCTTCCTGCATTCAAATGTCTGCAATTATGCCCTTCCACAAAAGCCAGAAGTGGTGTCTAGTACTGTGGATCCTTTCAAGTGGATAGCGGCTGCTTTGTTAAGTCAACGACGCCATGTAATTCAGATGACATCTCTTAATTATTGTATAGGAGCAGCAGAGAGGGGCTTAGTACTACCTGGGGGAAGAGGGTGTCCAGTGCTGAGATTCATGGAAAGCCAGAGCCCTCTAAGAAGCCTCAGCTGGGCATAGTGGTGTATGTCTGCAATCCCAGTGTTCTAGGCAGCTGAGACAGGAGGATTGCAAGCAAAAGCCTGGGCATTTTAACAGTGTAGGGGGACCCCTATCTCAGTGTAAGAAATAAAAAAGGGCTGGGGATATTTTTTAGTGCAAAGACTTTGGGTTCAATCCCCATACTGCAAAACCAAAATCAAAACCAAAAACTTGTCTTCTCTGCCTACAGCCCCTGCCCTCCCACAACTTGCTTCCCCTAAATCTTGAGTTTCATGACTGCAAAGGAAATTCTTTTGAGAAAGTGTTGTGGATTAGCTCTGCCTGTCAGTCTCAGGAGAGAGGAAGAAGAGGACATGTGCTGCCGTGTGTGACGGACGTGCCTTGGCCCATGCCCTAGGTGCATCAGCAGTCTGTGCACACTGTGGGAGAACAGTTTGGAAGGATCCAGAACTTCTGGCTCCCTTGAAGGGAGCACGTAGGCTGAGAGTCTCTGGGAGGCCAGCACCAGCCTAGTGCTTAGCTCAGAAACTCTCCTCTTCTGGCCCCAGGGCTATGAATAGGCACCACTTCTGCAAGACCGGCTACAAGCTGGCACTTTACCAACAGTGGTGCTTCTCACCCACTCCTCCCCACTGGCCAAGGTGTCTCCCTTCCTACCACAGCCCCCATGGCTCTCTGTGCTGCAGACCAGAGAGGTGATGGGGTGTGGCTGGGGAGGAAGAGGGTCTGGTCTGGTCTGTTCTCCTGCCCAGTTACCTGACCTGCTTTCTACTACTGCTGAAAGAAACCAAACAGGAAGGAGCCAATGTAAGCTTACGATCCTGGGGCTTTCTGTTGCCCATTGGATTGTGGTTTTCACTCAGATCTGCAACTCTGTGCTCTGCTTGCTTAGGCCAGGAAGGTTTCTCTCTCAAACTTTGTGCCCCTTCTTTAGGGCTCGCTCCTTCCTTTCCTTCCTTCCTTCCTTCTTTGCTTCCTTAATGTCTATTATCTTCTCTCTCTCTCTCTCTCTCTCTCTCTCTCTCTCTCTCTCTCTCTCTCTGGAATTTAGTTCACAGATGTATTTATTCATATGTGAACTGACATATATATGAGATTGTTAAGTATAGCTTACTATAGGGAAAAATTTTGAAGCACTCTAAATGGCCATGGGTAGAGAATTGGTGAAATAACTTAACTTACGGTGGGATGGCATTCAGCATTCAAGAGAGACAGGGCTTCTCTTCCAGTGAAAAAGAATGAGATATATTTAGTGTTCTAAAATGGGAGGATCAGGGGCCCGGGAGATGGCTCAGTGGAATAAGCGCTTCCCTGGGAAGCACAAGGGCCTGAGTTCAGTCCCCGGTTCCGCCAAAAAATAAAAAATAAAAAAAATAAAATGGGAGGATCTTTCAGATATGTAAATGTTAATTGATAAAAACGAAAGCATATGCATGGAATATCATCCATGTGATAGAAATGCATACAAAGTACATGTGTGTATCGGAACTTGTTTTTAATCATTTTAGGAGGATACAAATGGAGCTGGTAGAAGTGGTGTCTGCAGTCTGTTCTGAGTGCAAAGGCATGGTTTCCAGCTTTCTCAGCACCTGGCTGCTCCCCTTCAGAGGCAGCCTGTCTCTCTTGAATGCTAATGGCCCCTTCACTGTAGTATCCCCAGAATGAAGCCCCACGATCCTGGAGGTTCCTTCCAGAGCTAAGAGGATCAGGTCTCTCCCCTCCCTTATGCCAGCCAGCACACATCGGTGAATACAGCCCAAGATGGCCTGTGCTTAGTCACAGAGGGTGGCCAGCTCCACTTGCCCTCCAGGGGGGAAGCCTATGGAGGAGCCCCCTGCTGGTCACACAGCCTGAGCTTAGAGGGTTCCAGTGCTGAGAAGCTCTGACCCTCAACGTTGCCTCACCTCTCCTGAAAAAGCTTACAATGTTACGATTTCCATAAAGCTTCATTGATGACATGTCGGTTGTTTGAGGCATTTTCTTTTTCTTTCTTTCTTTAAAAAATATATTTGGTACAGGGTCTCACTACACAGCTCAGACTTGTAGTGATCCTCTTGTTTTCAGCCTCCCCAGCGCTGAGATTACAGGTGTGTGCCACCATGCACAGTCTCAGTGGCTACCTCAGGGCACCCCAGGGGTGGAGTCAGTGTGGCACATGGTGCTGGGGATCGAACCCTGGTCTCTGTGCTTGCCTAAGCAGATGCTTAGTCCACTGAGCCATCTCGCCAGCCATGTCTGAGGCATTTTCTTTCTGCCTGCTTCTGCCTATTAGTATGAAAAGCATTCAAATGTACGTACCAGTGGTGCAATTAGTGTAATATGTCCACATTCATCTCTAATATTTTCTGGTTTGAGTGTTGTGTCTTCCCTCCAACATTGTATTAAGTTCTAACTTCCAATAATGCAGAATGTGACCTCATTTGGAGATAGGATCTTTATAAAGGTAACTAAATTAAAATATGGCTGTATGATCCCTAATTCATTTTAACTAATGATTTTGTAAGAATAAGAAATTTGGACCCAAGTGAGCACAGAAGATCTGAAAAAAAGATGATCTGAAGACACGGGCAAGGACTGATATTTACACACCAAGGATAGGGACAGATCCTTCCTTCAGAAGGCCCAAGCTGCCAACATCTCGATTTTGGATTTCTGACCTTGAAAATGGCGAGAGAATAAATTTCTGCTGTTTCAATCACCCTGTCTGTTGTACTGCTTTGTTATAGTGGCTCTAGCAAGCTAATACAAGTAACCAACTCAACATCCAATGTGTTGTATTTTTCTCTGGTCTTTCCTGTTCCAGGCTATGAGGCAAATTCTAGAATTTTATCTTTTCCCTAGTAAAAGTTTTACTATGCACCTGTAACCAGTTTCTTTTAAAAATTTAATGCAATACCATAATTGCTTAATAATTGTATTGTCCAGGGGTGGATGCCCTTAATTGTGGGGAGACAGCTCCGTGGTGACTCAGCCCAGCCAGGCTGGGTGCTGGACTCTTCTCAGGGTGTGGCTTCACTTCCCTTGGACACCAGACCTTGTGTGGCCAGGTAAGCCAGCCCTCCAGTTCTGTGCCCTCTCATGTCGGTGAAGTCTGGTGATTCACCAATGTCTGCTAGTTTTTTGGCTCTGCTCAGAGCCCTCTGGTCAGCTCATATCAGTGCACTTGAACAGCAAGAACACCCAAAGGATCCATGAGTCACATTTCATAAGGTATTCTCAGAAATTTCCAGAGACATTCCCCAAAGCAACACAAAATACATGAACTAAAAATATATGCTTAATCCTTTTGCAAGCTGGGAGAGGTGAAGGCATGAAAAGGCCCAACAGACCTAGTCAGAAGCTAGCAGACAGAAGATCTGTTACACATGCAATAACGGAAAGAACTGAATCGAATGAATAAGAAGAACAAGTAATAAACATCTTAAGAGCTGCATCTACTAAATGACTCCTGGAGCCCCTTACTTTGCATTCACAGTAGCGAATTCTGACGTCAATTCTGTGAAGCAAAGGCCGTGAGATTACTCCCATTTTGCAAACAGAAACAGAGCACTAAGGATTTTTTTTGCCTAAGGTGTCAGAGCAGAAGTGGCTGGGACCAGGCTGGATGTGAGGTGAGTGTGACCTAAACTATGCTTTGAAGTAATAAACAACAACAATAACAAAATAAACTATGCTTTGAGTGCCCCTGTAGCGCAGGCTCTGGGCCGAGGGCTTTACCTGTGTTGTTTCCTTAATCTTCGCGGCCTTTCCATCACCTAGGTTCTGGGAGCAAATTCATTCTACACATGAGGGCACCAAGACTCGTGAGGTACCGTGATGCTCTCGAGGAGCTCCAGGTGAGAGTGGCAGGATAGGACTCGAACCCATGGCTCCTAACTCTGGCATCTGTGTGTGCAATCCATAATTCTTCATCTCTAACTCTGCATACCTAAACTATATCTATGGTAGCTCAGGGGACTTTCTGATGACACAGGAGACAGTGACAATTCTGAGCCTACAGTTTTTTACACCCCAGACTAGCTCCCTGAAGTGTGACCAGGAGGTGGCCTGCACACAGATGGAGCTATTGGCTCAGGTTGGCGCCCTCCTGCTCCATGGGGGAAGAGGGATATTTGGATGTGGTGCCCTCTGGAGACAGCAAGAATTTCCTTCCTAAAAAAGTGTGTGTGTGTGTGTGTGTGTGTACGTGCAGTGCACTGTAGCATATATGTATATTTTGGGGGAAGCCTAGGTGCCTCTTCCCTCATTTGCGATGTGCCGGTCCTGCAGAGGGGGCTCTCAGGGTCTCAGGAGGAAAGCTTTGCCCCTGTCCCCCTTGAGCAGGGGCAGCCTTAGCTGCAGCCCCCTACTGTGCCCAGCTTGGAATCCAGGGACCTCCAGCACTGGGTGTCTGGGGCAGAGCTGCTGGTGCCCAAGAGCTGCCTTGTTAGGAGAGAATAAGAGGGGGTGGGGCCATGCGAAGGCCAGTGTGGGCGAGCCCTGCAGCCTTCTCTGGTTCTCTGAACCCCTCAGGAAGGTTCCTGGCACACACTGGTGGCTTCCTGGGAACAGCTGGCTGGCTCTGCCCTCGGCTCGGGGATGCTGGGGTCTGTGGCCTTGGAACACAGCCACAGGGATGCAGCCTCTCCCAGCAAAGCCAAAGCCGGCTGCCTGTTTCCTGTGGCTGTGGCTGCATTGTTAAGCAGTGTCCCGGCAGGTAATTACACCCAGGGCAGCTCAGTTGCACCCTTAGCAAATTAGGTGCTGATCCGAAGGTGTAATTAAGCAAAAGTGAACGCAGTCTAGCCATTGCTAGCGCATTTGCTCGCAGGTGTAGCATTCCAGGAGAAAGTAAGTTCAAAGCCCAGTGAGGCTCCTTCTGCTTCTGTGACCCTCCCTGCTCTCTGGACAGGCCTCATACCCTGGAGCCAACTTTGGCTTGATTTCTAAATATTGGGGAGCACCTTTGGATGTGTCAGGGTGGTAAGCACAATTAGCGTTCTTTAGAAACACACAACAAACCTGCTATCCGTTCCTTAATTATATGTCTTCAGATATAAAACAATCCCTTCGTGTTGGTGATGTGTTTTTTAATTAGCCCAAACAGTTCCTTTTCAAAGTTAGAAAATGTGTCTCTTTACCTCCTCCATTTCAAGGGAGCCATCCGATCCGACTGTCTCCTCACTGTGCAGAAGAGGTGGAGGATCAATGGATCCCTCACCAGCAGCCGCGGGGCCAGGCTGCCTGCAGGCTCTGTGGGGCTGAGCAGGGCTAGGGTAAGTGGCCCTGAGCCGCTCTGGGCAGACCCAGGGAAGCCACCTTGGTAGCATAAAGGCAGGGAAGGTCCTCTTCATCCTGGGGCTGGAGCAGTGTGGTTCCACCCTGCTGGGGGCTTAAAGAGCAGCCTCTCCCTGCCACCCAGGAGCCTCCCAGCTCAGACAGCAGGGTCCAGGCTCAGGCAGCAGGCCCCACATTGGTCTGAAAAAGCCCGAGAGGTGGTAGCCAGGAAGGGGACCAGGAGCTTGGTCAGGTTGCGTGTGGGGGCGTTTATGTGAGTATGTTTGTACAGGTGTGTGTCTGGGTGTATCTGTATGAATATGTATGTGCAGAATGGTCATTCATTTGTATCCCTTTTTTTGTTTAGTTTTGTCAGAGAAGGGTATCTGTGTATTCAAAATGGTTAGGATAGATATACAGCTACATTCTCTTAATTCAATGAATAGAAAGATTTGCTCTAATAGTGTTTGTAGACAGGAGATCATGTCTGCATCTTGTAAATGAATAACCACTGAGACAACAATATGCAGTGTATTAATTATTGAAACTGTCTCACTAATCGGATTTGAAACTGTCTCATTGATATTTCTCAATAAAATTATTAAAAAAAATGAATATGTATGTGCACGGGTATGTATACTTATGCACATATGGGGATGTCGTATGAGTATAGGGGACATAGATGAGTGTGTGTACAAGGATATGTGTACACATGTGTCTATATAAGGATGCATGTATGGGTATACATATATGGATGTGTATGTATGCAGGTGTGTTGGGGGTAGGTAAAAATGAGGAGTTTTCTTCCCGGGTTTCAAGTCCTAGGGCCCAGGTGTTGTGCTCAAAGTGCCTGCCTCTGTCCTCCTGGGCTGCCCTCCTTGGCCTTCCAAGGCAGGCTCAGGGCCTCTACCACCAGGACGTGTCACTATTCCTCATCCGGGACCCACCTGGTGTCTTTCTCTAAACAGATAAGTCCAGCACACAACAGACCAGCTGGAAGACTGCAGGAGGGTGCTGGCCCTATGCTGGTCCATCTTGCTTCTTGGTGGTACCAGCTCTGGCCAGAGCCACTGAGCTCCCACTGAGCTCCCCCAGCTCCCCAGCCCCTCTGTTTGTGTCTGTTGTCAACACCCCTATTCATCTCTGTGTGTCTCTCCAAGTGTCTTCCTTTTCTGTCTCATTATGAAAAATACTAGAAGTGGCCCATAGGGAATATACTTAAACTTAACGACACGTAAGATGTCTAAACACATGGGGGATGGCCTGCCAATAAAGCAGTAAAAGAATCAATGCTGGGGAAGCCACCAGTGAAAGTCGCCATGGCTGGCGGAAAGTTGGCAGGCAGCTGTGTCAGAAGATCTCATCGTTGTCTCTGTGCTGCAGTGGCTATGGTCACGGCACCGGCTCTGCAGCGGGCTTCGTGCCAGGCTCTGAACCTGACATGGATTATCACACTTCATTCTCTTCTGCTGTTCCCAGAGGTAGGGGAATAACTTCAGTTTAAAAATGAGTGTGCTGGGCTCTGCGAGTTTGGCGTTTACCCAAGGTTACATTGGTGGCAAATGACAGGTCGAGGATTTGAGCTGCGGAGCTGCCTGACTTCCCTGGGAGTGCATGTCAGGGGGAGATTATGGGAGCCTTTTGGGGTGTCCAGGGTGTTGTGAGGGGTAGAAAGAAAAGAGAGAGGAAGGTCACTCCGATGACCCAGGAGTTTGAAGAGGTCAGAGGCGCTGTGGGGAGATAACAGGCAGGGACAGCTCAGGCAGTCAGACCGAGGGGCTTGTAAGGAAAGGCAGAGCAAGCCGACCAGGATGGGGCTGCAGGAAGCCGAGCTCCCAGAGGGCGCCGGAGACCCTACAGCTGGAAGCACAGCCCTCCCACCCCCTCCCACCAAGAGGCCTCTCCCAGAGAGGCAAACAGCCTTGTCCTGGGCACACCTGGCTGCCCCACAGGCCAGCTAGGATTTCAGGAGGGCCAGATAACATGTGAGGGTACTCCTGGAGGAGGGGCTCCTGTCTGTGGCTCTGCCCGGATCCCTTCCCCTTAACTGGCCATCAACCAAAAAACTACTTACTCGCCCCACAGCAAGCGAGGGAACAGTATACCGGTGTGGTGTCAGTGCTCTGGGACAAACGGCTGCTGAATAAAGTAGCCAGACTGAGTCGGGATGGTGGGAAGCCAGGGTAAGGGGGGAGTGGGGTGTGGGGGCACAGCCTTTCAGGAGGAAAGGAGAGAAAGTGTCGGGTCTCAAGGGGATGGTTGAAAGGCAGGGCTTACAAGGTGGAAACACGATCGCTTCCTGCCCTCTGTCCGGGGCAACAGTCCTGGGAAATCTTAGTGAGGTGGGTTTACAAATCTTAGCTGAAGTTAATAATGATGTGGGCAAGAGCAGAAGTGTCTCAGAAACACCGCTGCTGTGGCTGGCAGGACAACCTCTGGTCCTGGTGATGACATGAGGCCCATCCTAACAGCCCCTCACTCGTGGGGGCCATTGAAGCATCTGGAGTACCGGCCTGTAGAAGCGCTGTAAGTTAGCACGGGGAGGCCGGCTTCCTACCCTGGCTGCAAAGGCACATCTGGCTGAAGGGGCCGCTCATCCTTCCAACCTGCGGTGAGTTTGTCAGCTTTGCTTTCTTCATCCATAAACGAGGAGAATAATAAAGCTTACAACATGGGGTCATTGTGTAAATTAAATGGTCCTGGCTTGAGGCAAAAGCTCAGTAAATGCCAGGGACTTTTATCCTTATTCTGAGATGGGGGGACAAGTGGCTTCCATTGTACTCCTGAGAGTTCTGCTTTTTCGTGGCCATGCCCTGCTGTCATGGCGCCCCACCTTCAGAACGTCAGTTTATACAGTGAGAGGAGTCCTGGGCTTCAGTCAGGAGACCGGGATTCCAGTTATGCCTCTTTCTTCGTGTGATGCTGGGTCAGTCCTTTTCTCTCTTGGACTTCAGTTTTCTCACCTAGCCAATGGGGAAGTTTGACCAAAGCATCCTCACTGTCTAATTATCTGTGATGTCCCTTGGATACCATGCTGCATGGCCTCCTGGAGCCTGGAGATCGGCCTGGCAGGATGCTTCTTGAAGCACGAGGAAGATCCCAATGGAAAGGTGATTGGAGAACCTTTCTTTTTCTCTTTCTTTCTTTCTTTCTTTCTTTCTTTCTTTCTTTCTTTCTTTCTTTTTTTTGGTATTTTTTAGAGAAGGGTCTACAGGGTGTTCAGGTCTCACTACTAGATCAAACTTGTAGTGATCTATTTACAGCCTCCCAAGAGCTGAGATTACAGTCTCATTTGCTGTCTCAGCATGCCTCAGGGGCAGGGCCAGCGCAGCAGGCTTGGGGATTGAACCCCTGGTCCCTATACCTGCTTGCAGGCACTTTAATCTGCTGAGCTATTTGGCTGGCCCTGGAGAACCTTTCTTCTTAGCACAACTTAGCCCTCGGGCAGCTTCCTCCACTCTGCATGCTTTGAAAAGTTTGGTAGAAGACTGGGCATGGTAGCACATGCCTGTAATCCCAGTGCTTAGGAGACTGAAAACAGGAGGATCACCATGAGTCCCATCTGTGGAGTGAGACCCTGCAGACCCTGTACTAAATATATAAAAAGAAGTTGGGTAGAGAAGAGTCATTCCCTGGTCTGTCTTTCTTTCTTTCTTTCTTTCTTTCTTTCTTTCTTTCTTTCTTTCTTTCTTTCCTTCTTTCCTTCTTTCCTTCTTTCCTTCCTTCCTTCCTTCCTTCCTTCCTTCCTTCCTTCCTTCTCTTTCTATTTTAGTAAGGGTCTACAGGGTCTCACTACACAGACTGGACTCATAGTGATCTGTCAGTGTTCAGCCTCCCAAGAGCTGGAATTCCAGGCGTGTGCCACTCAGTGTGTCCCGGGGTGGGGCCGGCACGGCAGGCTGGGGATCAAATCTCCAAAACCTGCATCTGCCTAAGCAGGTACTTTAATTTGCTGAGCTATTTGGCTAGACCTTCATTCCCTGGTCTTGGACAAGTTTGTTCCGATGAACACACACAGCACATGGACACATTCACACATGTGCGTGTGTGCCTGGAGTCGCCTCCAGGGGATGTCAGGAAGTCATTGCTTCCTCCCCATGCTCTTGCCTTTTCCCAGTGTGTTGTGTGGGTGGTGGTCTCAGAACAGCTGAACCCTGAAGGTTGTTGCCAGATTTAGCAAATAAAAATATAAGATACCCAGTGAAGTCAAAGAAATAGTTCTACTGGCTGTGTTCTTATACTTTATCAACAAAATTTAAATATAGGGTACTTACTATGGGCCATGTTGATGGTCCATCTAGTATGCAGGACATGTGTAACAAATATCAGACATGTCCTTTATCTTACTTACTTTTCTTATTGCTGAAACAAAGTACCCAACCCCTAAAGCAAAATGGAGAAAGGTTTGTTGTTGCTCACAGTTTGTTGAGATTTCAGTTCACAGTTGGCTGGTTCCACAGCAGGCTAAGCATGGCAGAGGGGCATTGCAGAGAAGAGATAGTTCATAGCAGGCAGAAGGCAGCGAGCAGCAAGCTACAAGTGACAAGTCATGACCCTCTCTGTGTCCCTTACATCCAGTCCAGGCTGCCCAGGCTTGGGGCAGGTTGTACTCACATCTGGGGTGGGGCAGCCTTAATCCCAGCATCATGTGCCTTAGGTACAGGCATCTCTGAAGAGCCCCACCAATGACCACACAACACCTGGTAACCTGGGAGGTGTCCCAGTTTGTGATGAATTGAACTGAAACTGTGGAGACTTGGTTAGATGACAAACAGTTCACCAGGGATGCTGTCATGCTGGGGATTTGAAGAAGAGCGAAAACAAAAAAAGTCCAGGGTAGGGCTCAGGGATCTGCTGGAGGAAGAGCATCCTTCTGCCTCCCTCTCTGAGTGCCCAACAGCTGCTCACCACTCCACTGGCCTGTTATTTTGGGGACATTTGCCTGGGCACTGCAGCTACTCGAGGACAGAGCTACCCAGGGATAGAGAAGGGCGAAGGGGAGCAGGACCCAACTCAGACCCCCCCAGAGCCTGTAGGCATGCAAGCCAGGCTCAGCGTGCTTTCTAACTCTTTGCTCATGAGCCGTCTCAGTGAGCGGTGAACCTTGCGCTTTGCAGATAGCACACTGAGGCCCAGGGGGGTTCTTCCCTGGCCTCTGGAGTATTAGGAAGAGGCCACCACCACCCTGCAGAGTCCGTGCTGGCCAGGCCTCCTTAGCATCTAGGACTTCCGAGCTGCAATTAGTAGGCATCACACTGTATAAAATGCTGGCAAGCTGTGTGGCAGAGCTGAGAATTCAGGTGGAAATTAGTGTAGGAAGAATTCCTTGCCCAGTGCATACCCAGCATATTGGGGCCGGGAAGGTGGCTGTTGTTGCTGGGTTTATGGTCATCAAATGATACGATGACTGCGTTCATTCCACGCACGCTGACAGAGCAGCTGTGAAGAACTGAGTGCTGTGCTGGGGCTAAGGGGATCTTCAGAGCTTGCACTGAGTATCTCTTGTCCCCACAGAGCTACTGACAGGCTGGGTGAGGAGCCAAGCAAGCCACGCACATGTGGAGCAAGCAAGGCAAGAGGTCAGGGAAGGCGTCCTCGAGGAGGTGAGTTGGAGGCTCTGGGCCCAGCTCGCTGCCAGCCCAGGTGTTCTTCTCCAGTGCCCTAGGCCTGCAGAACTGTGGCACAGCAGCATTCTCAGGAAGTGGCTCTGGGTGTGCCTGAGTACTAGACAGAGACTCCTAGTTTGGACAAGAAGGAAGCGAGTGTCCGTGGCCTGGCTGGAGTTTTAAAGGGCTAGTGTGACCTTAGCTCTTTATTTGTTCTGTGGCCTTCTGAGGCAAAAGGGGGAGAAACAAGCACTAGCCATCTCCTCCTGACTGGGAGGTTATGGCTCCTCCTTGCCCACAGTGACCACAGGGATCCCTTGCCACTTTGTCCTCTTGCACAGGGATGGAGGGATCCTCTCCATGTCTTGGACCTCAGTCTGGGTTTTATTTCTGGATTCAGCAGTGATCAATGTTACTGTGAAACACAGAAAACAGCACAGAGCCATCCATCCTCCCCCGGGATGGTTCCTCATGTTGTGTCCGCAAGGCTGAGCTGATGGAAATTGACGGTCTGAGTTCATTAGCTCAGGAGTCATTTAACACATGAGCAGCCTGTTCAGGCAGCTGGAAAGGGGCTGCAGGGAGGGCAATGCTCCCTATAGGAAGTGGTAGGTGTCTCTATCTGTCACCACATAGCACTCAGCAGGTTGGCTCCAGAGCAGCTTTATCGTATGACTGAATGGATGAATGATGGCATATTTGCCCATGGTGAAGGTCTGCAGACTTGGGTTTCTCAGGGATTCTGTTCAATGGCAGAAAGAGCATGTGTTTTGGAGTCAACAGGCCACAGCTTCTTCATCTGTGCAAGGGGCACAATGTGAATGCTCAAGGAGGTGATGTGCACGGAGCATTCAGAATATGGCAGGTGACCTACAGAGAGGAAGCCACTGAGCCTCCCCGTACCCGACCTGTGCAGGCAAGTCCCTGGTTTCAGTGCACTTCTCTTGCTAGCACAGTTGCATATGGCAGAAGTTACTACTCCCATTGCACAGATCAGGAAGCTGAAGCCCAGTGGAGAGGGGGAGTGGCCTGCTGAAGACGTCATCTGCAGACCAGAGCCTTGGGTCAAACTTTTGGATCTCAGCCCTGTGCCTTGGCTGCTGCAGGCTCACTGGGCTGACTCAAATCTAAAAGAAATGAAACAGCTCAGTTGTTTTCCAGCCTTTTCCTGTTCTGAGGTATAAACAGTCCCTTTGGGTTGAGGGCCTTTGGATTCCCACCCTACAGATTTGGGTCAGATTCCATGGAAAAAAGAAGAGGTTGCCAGCTACAAGATGGGCCGTAGGTGGGCAGAGGCTGAGACTTTGGAGACCTGTGTCCTCGGAGGCCCTTCTGAGGCCTTCATCCAGACTTCCCACGTGTGCATCTCACCCCAGCCTGGACAGGCAGCTCTCTCTCCATCTTGCTCAGGGTCCTGGCGATTAGGATTTAATGAAAGGTCTGCAGCGAGCTCTGGGCCTGGATGGTCTCCCAGGCCTGCTGAATGCACCGCTGCTGTGGGTGGGGCTCTGAGTCTGTACTTGGGGTCAGCCTGATGCTTTATATCTATTCAGAATAGCAAGTGGTCCCCATTCAACATCTTATTGGGTTATTTGGAATTAGAAGTTTACCAGTGCTCAGTGTAGACAGACAAGCCTGCAGAGAGTGAGAGTAAATGAAGCTGGCAGGGAGAGTAGGCAGGGGAGAGAGGAGGAAATCCCAGGCTGAGTGTTGGAATGGGGCTTGATGTTGCTGGTGACAGCAGGCTGCATCTTACAGGACATGACCTCCCTCTAGTTTAGGAAAATCCTCCCTCCCCCCAGAATTCTATGTAAATCACATGACAGTTCTGAGAGGTGGAGAGTGTTTGTGTGGCTCATTATCTTGATTTTACAGAGAATGAGACTGAAGCTCAGAGAGGTGCTGAGACCCACTCATGGTCCCACAGCAGAGAGCATCAGGCCTGGGACTCGGGCGGAGTCTGGTGTTTTCTTCTGCAGGAGCCCCAGTGATTCAGTTTCAGAGGGGGTGCTATGGTGGTGCTGGAGGGGCTCTGCCTGCAGCTCCAGGGGCCTCTCCCACTCCGCAATCCACCAGCACTTGTTTCTTGCATAAACTCTTCTCTGGGGGCCTGCTGGGTCCAGGCTGAGGGCCTAGGAATCCTGCTGGATGGGATGGGCTGTAGCCACCTAGCTGCCAAAGAGTGGGAAGGGGCCCTTGGCATGAGGCAGCACAAACTCATACTGATGAGGCCCTAGTTAGAGCTGGGGCGTCACTTCTCTGGATTTCTGTCCTGCTTTCACACCCCTTTCTTTGGGTGTGTCCTGGGGCTCTTCCTTTGCATCGAGAGGAAAGGAATCCCAGGCTCCAGCCTGTTTCTGACAACCCCCCAAAAAACCCCAAAACAAGTGGGAAGACATGGGGTTATAGGGGGGAAAGGGGAAACTCCCTTGCCAGAATCCTGCGTTGGCTGGGGTTGGGGAGCTCTTACTGAAACTGTACCCTGAATAGGGAGGGGAAAAGGACTGAAAAAGTGCTGGAGTCTATTGAGAATGAACCAAGCCTTTGCAAGACTGTAATCTGAGCATTACTTCTGAAGGGTATGGGGACTGTTTGGGTCTGAGACAGATTAGCAGATTAATATGCAGGATATTTACTAGGAGACCTCTCTCTCTCTCTCTCTCTCTCTCTCTCTCTCTCTCTCTCTCTCTCTC